CTGATGAAAAATGATGGGATGTGTGTTTTGAGCCATAATCCCAGTATCAAACACCCCTAATCTCAGCATCTACTAGCCCCTACTAATCCCAGCATCAAACACCCCCCTCCACTAATCACTTGGGAGTCAGAGTCAAGAGGGATCTCTCGGCCGGTAATGGAGGAGACACGAGGGAAAATTACCTCCATGAGTGAGAGAGGTCAAAGAGATGAGAGAGGTCAAAGAGATATGAGAGAGAGAGAGAGAGAGAGAGAGAGAGAGAGAGAGAGCACCGACCGCCCGCCTTCCTCCTATCTTGGGGGTGACATTTGTGTAGGCAACAGAGGGAGGCGCAGCAGCATTATTGACGCGCCTCTCACACCTACCTACCTACTTACCTACCTCCTCCCTCCTCCTCTCTTTCTATCCCCTGTGTTCTTTCCCTCCTCCTTTCCATACATCCAGTGACAACAAAAGACCTATTGGTAATTGATACATGATGCACTGCCTATGTATACTTATCTCTCTATCTATCTGTGTCTGTCTGTCAGTCTAATCACACCCACACCTCTGGACTAGTTACCAACAAACATACAGCAATAACATAACCTACCCCACCCCCGACACCTTCAACAGCCAACACAACCTGGGTGACTTAGGGCTTGTGCCGTCACCTGGGAAACCAAGGTCGCTTAATCAGGCAGGTAGAGACGCCAGGTAGAGACGACGGGTAAAGACGCCAGGTAGAGGCGATAGGTAGAGATGACAGGTGGAGATGACAGGTAGAGACGACAGGTAAAGGCTATAGGTAAAGACGACAAGTAAAGACGACAGGTAGAGGCGACGGGTAAAGACGCCAGGTAGAGAAGCCAGGTAGAGGAGATAGGTAGAGGAGATAGGTAGAGATGACAGGAAGAGACGACAGGTAGAGACGACAGGTAAAGGCGATAGGTAAAGACGACAGGTAAAGACGACAGGTAGAGGCGATAGGTAAAGACGACAAGAAAAGACGACAGGTAGAGGCGCTAGGTAAAAACGATATGTAAAGATGACAGGTTGAGACGACAGGTAAACACACGCGTGCTCATACCAAGTGACCTGGAATTATAATGAGACAAGTAAACCAGGCAATTAGGTCGTTAGCATGGGAGTGAATTTCTGTGAGGATCACCTGAAGATTAGCTCCACACCCTAATGAATTTTTTACCTAGGGGGAAGGGCTTGGTTAGGTTAATCTTATGATGAAATAACTCACAGTAACCACGACAAACCACCAAACCACGACAAACCATCAAACCACGACACTCCACCAAACAACTCTCTATCAACACCCGAGTGGAACAAAGAGAGAGAGAACCTGATTTCACCACCAGCAGGAGGAGCATCAGCAGGAGGAGCATCAGCAGGAGAAGCACCAGCAGGAGCAGCACCAACAAGAGAAGCACCAGCAGGAGCAGCACCAGCAGGAGGAGCACCAGCAGGAGAAGCACCAACAGGAGAAGCACCAGTAGGAGCAGCACCAGCAGGAGAGACAACAGAGATGAGAGGAAAGTTAGCGTGTGAGTCAGCCAGTGGGAGGCAGGTAGGTAGTAGCACTTTCCTTGTATTAATACTCAGCCACGCACGCACGCGCTCAAACACACACGCGCACGCATACGCACGCACGCGCACACACATTCAAACACAGAGGAATTACTAATCTTATCACCATCCCGGTTCAAAATACCACCAACAAAAATAAATTATACTGTATCTATGTTTTGGAGACGTGCAGGCGCCAACACACTCCCGACTTCTACTCCCATACTAACCTAACCCAATCTAACCTAACCTAACCTCAAATAACCTAGCCTTACCTAAACTAATCTAACCTAACCGAAAATAACCTAACCTAATTAGACTTGACCAAACCAAAGAAAACTCAACCTAACCTAACCTAAATTAACCCAACCCATCCTAAATTACCCCCCCTCCCCCCAAGGTACCGTTAGGGTGGTTAATCTTCAGGTGTAATAAGCTGGGGGGGAAGGGGGAGCTAATCTTCAGGTGATGCCACTGACTCTTACTGTATTGCCTATCTAACAGCGCTCTCTAATACCACTTTGGCGTGAAAGCTGGCGGAACAGGTGACAGCAACAGGTAGTGCCCAGTACAGGTGACAGGAGAGGGAGGACGGGAGTGAGGAGGAAGGGAGGGAGTGAGGAGGAAAGGGGGAAGAGAGGAGAAGGAAGAGAGGAAAGAGGAGAAAAAAAGAAAAGAAGAGAGGAAAGAGGGAAGGAGGAGGAAGGGGAAACAACAGCTCACAAAACCAACATAACATCAGTGGCCAAGGTAACAGGTTGAGCTGCAGAGACAAATTGCAACACAAAACGCGGAAGCTGTAGTAAAACAAATCTCATTATTGGAGGGAGATTTCAAAACAACTTCAATTGTTGTTGTTTTTTTACGAGAGAGAGAGAGAGAGAGAGAGAGTACCACTACTTTTCAGCGTTTTATCACGACCAAAACTATCCAATGATCCAAGTACAACTGACCAATAGAATCACCACCTTAACAACAAGAAGGCAGCAGCTCACAAATGCGCCAAGAGGCCAGTGCAGTACAGTACACGTCCGATAACACTGGCGCGACACACTAACGGTAACCGATATTAAAAGTGAGGTGTGGTGGAGGCCCCGGCAGTGGGTTACTGGGTGTACCGGGCAAGAGGCGAAGCAGGACGTGGGCAGGGAGGGCACGGCTGAGTCTGAGAGAGAAAGCTAACACAGCAGGCAAAGGCGGGTCAGGTTTTTCTACCGGCGCTGGGGGAAAGTGACGCCTCTACTCTCGTATGTGGGCTGCAACCTCCCTCCCTCCTGTCGCCCCAACACCCACAGTACATAAGATTCTTTCCAACTAGTGAAAACATACGCCGCTGTCACCTCTCTTACGTCAACATAACCCGGAAATAAGTCTCCCCTTTTACGTTGTATGCGTTATTATCACTGATGGAGTTTTAGCTATTGAGAGGGAGACATCTGCTGAAAATTGGTGATGCAGTTCTCCCAAATACGGTTCTGAGTAACTGACGAGAGAGTGTTCTGACCGCCACAAGAGTTCAGCAGCGGTGATGAGGGCGAGGAGGATATACCGTTAACAGGTTAAAACACACACACGAGAGAGAGAGAGAGAGAGAGAGAGAGAGAGAGAGAGAGAGAGAGAGACTTGCGCTAACATACGGGAATACAAACGCAGGTGGCGGGAGGAGCTTGCCAAAACGACCCTCCTTACTCTCGCTACTCCGGCAGTAGTAATGATGGCGACAACAACACCAGCGGCTCCTCCTCCTGTAGTGACAATGGCTGTCATGACTACTACAGGTAACCACATTAACGAGGGTGGGTTTGTTGTCATTACAGGAATCAATCTTGGGTGGTTATCGACGACTGAATCAACAGTGTGTCAAAACTCCTGTCACTATCTGCTATCCCCCCCCCCAATGCCAGGTGAGACTCAACAGTACACCAGGTAGGGATGGTCACACCAGGTAGAGTGTGTGTGGTGTGGTGAGGCGGTGTGGTGTGGTGAGGCGGTGTGGTAGCGGTGTGGTGTGAAGAGTGAGAGTTAAGACAGGGAAAGTCGCCACCACCACCACAGTGTACCGTTGCGGATTAACAAGTACTGTATACTGGTTATGAACTCTCTCTCTCTCCCGTACAGATTTCAAAACCCTCATCAGCGTACAAGCTAAGAAGCCCCACACACACACGCACGCACGCACACACACACACACCTTATTTTCCCAGTCATGTACACTAGGATGATAATAATACAGACTAAATCTAAAAAAATAGCATCATTACTAATCTAACTTAACCTAAATAGATATAGTTTACTGGGGTTTATGTTATGACACACGACAAGAAGACCTGGTCACTTGACTAAGACCCGGCCACCTGAGAGGACCCGGCCGGCCACCTGACTAGGACCCGGCCGGCCACCTGAGAGGACCCGGCCGGCCACCTGACTAGGACCCGGCCGGCCACCTGACTAGGACCCGGCCGGCCACCTGACTAGGACCCGGCCGGCCACCTGAGAGGACCCGGCCGGCCACCTGAGAGGACCCGGCCGGCCACCTGACAGGACCCGGCCGGCCACCTGACTAGGACCCGGCCACAGGACTCAGGTATCCCATGTGAGGGTGACGTCACATGAACCTCGTTTGGAGCTTCAATAAGAATAAATTTTTTGGATCATGTTATTTATATATATCGAGTCATCATTTACTTGTGTGTGTGTGTGTGTGTGTGTCATAATACATACGGGGCATTTCAACATGGTAACAATGCAAAAAGGTAAGATTGACTGGGAGTGAACACACTGGTGAACAACACGTAATCAACCAGTGTGTTCACCCCTAGCCAATCCTACCTTTATGCAGTCACTATGTTGAAATGCTCTGTATGTATTATGACCTACACACCTAATTATTATATATCATATTTGTATCACTCATGTTACCTGTATATTATTTGTCAATCAAGTCACCCATTCCCCAATTATGTAACTGTATATTTTCAGCGTTTTGGACTCGTGTTACAAGTCTCCCCGACACCATTATATAAGGGGCCCTCTCATCTTCACTCCCACCTTCAACAGCCCTTTATATTTATCTCCCCCCACTCGACAGTTCCCTCTCGTGGCCCTCTCCACCCCCCACTTCCACACAATGTCAACAACTGAAATAAAGGTCTTGGAGGCCTCTTCTGCCGCCCCGCTCTAAATACCTTGAGGCTAGAGAGAATCACTCGAGGTGGCTCTAGTGTCCACACCTGAGAGAGAGAGAGAGAGAGAGAGAGAGAGAGAGAGAGAGAGAGAGAGAGATATATGGTGACTATAAGAAGCGGGTGTGACAAAGTGACAAGAGGTGCGACACACACACACAGGGGAATTAATTAGCGGACACAGGTAATAAGAACACAGGTAATAAGTAGACAGGTAACAAGTACAACAGGTAAGTAAAAAAAGAAAGAATTCCTCACCCTAACTCGATGCCCCTTCTCGGTGGCCTTGCTCGACGCCTTGCTGTCACTCACCTGTAAAACAAATGTAAGGAGGAGGTGGATCAAATAACTGCTGGTAATAATTTGACACTTCATATATATATATACAAACAAAATAAATCACAGAAAAACACATCTAAATTATATATATACATAAATTAAAACACCCAAAAAACACAGGTAAATTATAAATATATATATACACAAACTAAGATAAATTACATACTGTATGTACAAATTATAATACAAATTTCAAAAAAATCTGAGAAATATATTGAAACCGTAAACCAGAACTAAAATTATCAAACACACACACACACAAATTGTCAAACCACCAAAATAGATTAAAAAAGTATTAGACAATAATTACACACACACACATGTAACCTTTATTGGCTTAATTACTTTACGTGTTCTTTTTTACTTCCTCATTCATTAAAACAACACAAACATCACTTAAATCATAAACAGAGAGAGACATTGCATTATAAACCACAAAAGAACGAGTGCATTCAATGCCTGTAAAGCAAAGGAGGTTTTAATACCATGGGAAATACTAGTGTTTACAAGCGAGTGAGTTGAAACACTGAAACACGGCGGAGAGATGCTGTCACGACCACCATCACCATCCTCCCACCATGACCCTTACCATATCACCACCCACTGCCACCATCATCACCACCACCCTACCACCATCACCACCCTACCACCATCACCACCCTACCACCGTACCACCATGACCCCCCTACCACCACCATCAACACGCTACAACCACCACACCCCTACCACCATCAACACCCTTCAACCACCACACCCCTACCACAACCAGCCCACCCCACCCACCTCCATTTCCACGATCGTTTCATTCACATTATTTCCCTTGGGCTCTTAAGTTATTTATAAATCTTCTATCATCATTTACTGTGACAATAACCAGATATATAAATAAACTTGATATGCTTAAACGTCATATAATTTAATCTCTCTAAGCTTACACCGACTGAAAGCTTAAAGCGTAGAATATCTGGTGAATAAATCCTCTGTAAGTTCTGCCGTTGTAATATGACGAAATTTAAAAGTTAGGCTAGGCTGGATTAGGTTAGGTTAGATTAGGTTGGATTACGTTGGGCTGGATTACGTTGGGCTGGATTAGTTTAGGTTACGTTAGGTTAAGGTAAGATTGACAAAATATCTTTCTAACAATCGTCCCAAATGGGTTTTATAAGAACCACTTTCGAGTCAAACGATAAATATATAAATAAATAAAATAAAAATAAATAAATAATAAATAATTGAATATAAATTAAATTAATATATAAAAATAAATTGATAAATAAATAAAATAATCTCAATAAATAAATAAATTAGAAAAAATATATAAAAGTAAATTAATAAATAAATAAAAATAATATCTCAATAAATAAATAATAAAAAAATAAATAAAAACAAAGAAATAAAAGGTCACCAATGTTTAAGTAGCCCAAAGAATCTGGAGCGGAGCCAAAATGCTTGTTGGGTGTTGGTACTCTTGGCAACAGGGGTTGTGTAAGGGTATCACTGCTGCCTCATACTGCTGAACTACTAACCTAACCTGACCTAACCCAACCAACAGCCCAACAAGCCAACCAACCGACCGACCGACCAACCAACCAACCAACCAACCAAGCCAACCAACCCCCATCTCTACACTTTACATCATCCTCACTTAAAATCACTAAAATATTTTAAAGGTTTAGTGGCACTGTGTGTGTGTGTGTGAGAGAGAGAGAGAGAGAGAGAGACAAAAAGGGTTGGAAATGTAACACGCGAGGGGGAAGCAAAACAATTCACCAACAGAGGACGGCAACAAAGGCGGGTAGACAATTAACTGATGTAAAAACAGTGGATATGAACGAAAAGGGAGTTGAGAGCGCTGAGAGAGGAAATAGTTCAATAGTCATACCATCACCTTAACGCAAGAAACCTCCCACGACCCGTCTACCTACGACACGACACGACACACTGGCAGGCGTTATTGTTGAGTACCTTAGTATACGGAGGACAGGAGAGAGATACGAAGCAAAGAAAACAAATTTCTCCAGGACAATGATGAAGGTCACGACACACAAGCAGGAGTCACAGTGCTGCTGGTGCTGTCAACTGCTCTAAACACCCGTCCTAGAGTGTGGGTCTTGTTTGGTGGCCCAGATCATACATCTTTATTCATCTACAAAACCTTCTCCTCCTCACCAACCCCTCCACATTACCTGCTGTCATCCCGTCTTCTATCTAGTTTCTAAGTTAACTCGTCTACCTACCATGTCGACCAAACGCGTCGCACGACAATAACTGATCGCGGTGCGCCCAACCTAACCAAGCACAGCACTGAACATCGGCGCAACACGATCCACAGACTTGGCGCAGTGCGACGTGATCGATCGATGGGCGCGATCAGGTGGTAGAGCACAGCACCCACCTGTGCAGCACGGGAGCCACCCGTCTCTACCTTAACCAGCTGAATAATGAGCCAACACTATAGGTGTACTTTACCCGTCCCAGTGTAATAACATAAATACCTAGGTAAGGCCAACAACCCAGGAGTGCTCTCTGTCACCTGACCCGCTACTCACTACTCCCGCTGCCTGTGTACAAGGCCACCATTCCCAGATTAAAGTGAGACGGCCCATGCGTAGAGGTGGTGGTGTAGCCGCGCCCCGTCCCGCCCCCCGCTACCATAATAAACCACCAATGGGTCGTCGCCACTCGGCCCTTTATCAACCATGAATGACTCCTACTGTTAATAGCATCAAGGTAGAGGCAGCTTCCTCCGAGATTTTACCGACGATTTCGCTCGCTGACACCAGATCGCTCGAGACAATAGCCTCCAGTTTCAGAGATAACAGTCCCGAGACGCAAGCACATTCCACTAAAGAGCTATAAACACAGTCAAAACCAAGATAAAATTTAAAAACACGTCCGTAACATAACATAGGCCTATTCAAGCTTAGGTAAGAAATAAACTTGGGATAAATACAGCAACAGAGGTACACCAGACGGGCACTTTTCAGGGCCTTGGTGTGGAGGGGAACAACACAACACAGCCAGCACAGGAATTTAAGAGAGACTAACAGTAAACATTTTGACAACAAATACAGTAACAGTTTGAGATAGGCAATTAACAACAGCCAAATGACGACAAAAATCTATCCCGTAGTCAAACTATCCCCGTCAGCATCAACAAGATAAGGAGGGTATCGAACCAGTGTCACTCCCATGATAAACAGGGTCAGTCGAACACGATGTCTTCCTTCCCCCTCCTTTAGTTTATCGATAGTCAATACCCACATGCCCTTGAAAAGCAACACAAGGGCAACTTATCGTCAAACTCGTTCCCCAAATTGTTCATAGATGAAGTGTGATGCGGAGGTGAGGTGCGGAGGTAATGTGAGGTGTGGAGGAGAGTGACGTAAGGTGTGGAGGAGAGTGACGTAAGGTGTGGAGGAAGTGGGGTGAGATGCTGAGGTGAGGTCAGGTGGGAAGGACAAAGTGTAGTGTGGAGGAGGTGGGCGTTTGTCAAGTCCTCCAAGAAACAACTTGATTACGTGCGTGTGTGAAGAGAGAGTGGCAGGCGGGAGGACCAGAGGGAAGGGGTGGAAGAGGTGGAGAAGGACGGAGGGGAGGTGGAAGAGGTGAGAAGGACGAGTGGGAAGGACACAGACGAACGCACGCACGCACTTAAAAGTAACCATGGTGGGTACAGTGGAGCGGAGAGAGAGAGAGAGAGGGGGGATGAATGACCTCACTCATAAAACTCGTGTGTGTGTCTGTGTGTGTGTGTGTACAGTAAGTGGGACGAAACCTTAAGTGTTAAGTGGATCGTGGCCATCATAACGAGCGGTGCAATAACTCAGACAGACAGACAGACACACTACCAAATTTGATTCAAAACGTCACCAGTAAGTTAGAGAGAAATAAGCCGTTACAGAATATTAAGGACAGACAGAGACGAAAAGACAGACAGATAGACGGAAGACACACAGATGGAATGTAATCCTACCCCGCAGATGAAAGCGGCAGGGGACAACTAAGAGGATGCAGCCACTGTGTAATATGAAATTCAAATATATGGTGTGTGTGTGAGGAAAACAGTTTTAACACCACAATGTTAACCAAATCTGACCTAACCTGAACTAAACTAACCTGACCTGACCTAAACAGACCTAACACTAATATATTTGGTAAGGTTACCGTGTCCTCACAAGGCGGATTAGTACAGGCAAGAAGGGGTTAAAACACTGGGTATTAGTGATCAGGGGGAGAGAAGCAGGTAAGAGGATGAGGCGAGAGGAAGGAAGACAGGTGGTGGGGTGGGGAGGAAGACAGGTGGTGAGGAGAGCAGAGAAGATGGGAAGGACAATGGAGGGGAGGAGGAAGGTAGGTCGTCAATGTTGTGTTTACAGCTCAGCGGAAAAGATTAAGATCAAGGGCGGCTGGAGGGAAGAGGGTTCTTAAGACAGGCCTGAGTGCCTCTCTGGTGGCTCGCGGGTCACCTAAAGCCCCCCACCTATATAGTCTACATCAGGGGTTCTCAACCAGGGGAATTTCCCCCCTCAGGTTTTCTGGAGAACTGATACTAATATGGAAAAAAAAATAAAGGATTTTCAGTATTATATGCATATTATTTGGAATGCACTTTTTGAGGCAGACAATCTTGGAAAGGAGGGGGGAATGACATTCTGACATATGGTGAAAGGGGTGCATGGGGCAAACAAGGTTGAGAACCACTGATCTACATCCTCAACCTGCTTAAAAAAAATGTTAGTAACGTGAATGGAGTTGACCACAAATAAACACAATAGTGACGTTCAGGTAACAGATGGATCCCACCAAACAAACACACGGTCATATTCAGTTATTGCAGGGGATGATGATAATCGTGAATATATTAAAACTGCATTACATTCATATTTTTTTAGATATCGACAAAACACTTTTCTTTACGACTAGGAAGAATTCATCGTAAAATTTCGACCAAACAATGTCGAGTCATCCTC